GTCCATGTAAAAGACAAGACAATCACCATGTGTGTGTCGGGGAAAAAATTTCACTCCGAAGAATGAAGCCCAAGTTTTCCTCTCTCGATGCTTCGTCCAACCGAACAACAACCTCCGCGGTTCACTTTCAAAAGACGCTATATACGCGTCGCCGCGAGGTTTTCCCCCGGCCCGTGAGCATGTTTGTATATTTATACCGATGTGCGCCAGGAAAATCGCGAAACCGTACGGTTTAAAACAATCCGATTTTTTTTTTTTTTTTTCTCACCGAGAGAGATCAAACGAGGCCCTTTTACCCAAAACGCTGCACATACTTTGATAATAACCGCCGGACACAGAAAGAAGAAAACCGTTAACCGACAGGTGCGAGCCGCTCTAATCCTTACGGGTTTTGTTTATGTGTCGACGAACGCGAATTTCTACCGATTGTTATTCCCTCGATCTCGCGTGAGACGCGTTCACAAGAGAAAATGAAATGCAAGACGAGCGCGATGCTGAGAGAGAAAGAGAGAGAGAGAGAGATAAGTGTATGCATCTTTTAACAAGCGATGAGTAATGCGCATATATATACATTATGAACCGCGAGCCGTTCAATCGAGCTGCTATTTTCATCACCACGACGAAGCGTATACTTATCGTGCATAGGGCCAATTGAAGTTGTGCGACTCTTTTTCTCTCTCTTTCTTAATCATACCAATTAAAATAACTGCTGATTCCTGAAATTGCAGATCATCTTCTGCACGCTCAACACCCACAAAATCGACATGGGCCAGTTGATAGGAGGCCAGATCGGACTCGACGACTTTATATTTGCCCACAAGAAAGGTTCGTTTTTCTTTTTTTGTACCCGATGCTCTTACTTACTTTCTCCTTGCTCCCTGCACGTGACAACTATGTATTCACAAGCTATATACTCTGTCGTTGTGTTTGTTACTTGGTCGGTTTATTTTCAACCGAAACTGTAAAACTAATGAACGGGCACGCGCGAGCTAGGGCTCGTCCTTCCGTGAATCCAACTGTATCTTGATGGATAACATAATGTGTCCTTGGTACATCACCCATCGTCACCAGACAAAACTACGGTTCATCCGTGCATTTCGATTTTGCGCTGTTATTTGTCGATGCATGCGAAAAGCGACGTATACAATATGTACATACACAACAAAGCATCCACCCATGGCTGAGACGAATCTCGTGCAGGTCGTGCGAAAGAGGTCGAGCTGATAAAAACCGAGCCGGCGCTGGGGCTGACGTTGACGGACAACGGCGCCGGTTTCGTCTTTATCAAGCGGATCCGCGACAACTCGATAATGGACAAGCTGGGCGTCGTCCAAATCGGGGACCACCTGGAGAAGCTCAACGGGGCCAGTCTGGTGGGCAAGCGGCACTTTGAGGTCGCGCGCATGCTCAAGGAGATCGAGTGCGGCTCGAGCATGCTGCTGCGGCTTGTCGAGCCGGCGAGTCGGACCACCGGCTTTGGGCCCATTGGGCTGAGGGCTGCTGGCCCCAGGAGCAGGGCCAAGTTCGCTGGATACCCGACCGGCTGGGAGACGCTGAGGTTCAAGGCTGACGGCTTTGCCAGGATCGAGCAGCTGGTGAGTGCGCTTTCATGTTATACTTACTGATCGGCGTATCACTATACCGATGGCTTTTTGCTTTTCATCGTGTAGAACGAGACTGACAAGGCGAGGGAGCAGATCGAGAAGATCAACAACGCCCTGGATGTGTACATGGGAATCAGCGATTACGTGCTCGGTAAGGGGCGTTCAATTTATTTGTGCACTGTGGTAAAATGTAGCCTGAGAATTTTCAAAGCGATATTATTGATTGCAGCGAGGAGGTTGTGGGAGATTGCGCAGAAGAAAATCAACAGTATGGATCTCGCCAAAGCGATGGACTCGGCGCTACCGGACTCTTACGATTTTCCAAAGGATTTTATCTTCGACGTCTGGAAAATTGCATTCGAGACCAGAAAGAATCCGTGAATACGTGTATTTTGTAAATACCTTATTGGCCATATAAATTTGTTTTTTTTTTTTTAATCAAAGTCCATTCATATTACGTTATATTACGTTTATACATTTGTGGTTAATTGTGCGTGCATTTATGTGTATATAAATATCGAGTCCACTGTTGGATCGTTCAAGTATTCTTATAACATTAGCGATAACGTAAAATTGAAAGTAACAAACAAACGTTTGTAAGTACACGCGTGTACTGTTACATTATATCAATATTATTTGTACACTTCGTATAAACATCAAATTATTTTCAAAAATTGTAAATTATGTACAATAAATATAGTTACATTCCAATTTTCACTAACTCGCAATCTCAAATTCAATTTTGAATCTCGCGCCATTCTGTGCTAGCTACGGATATCTTTTCACAGATGGCGCTTTGGGTAGCAGAGGGGGCCACACATGCACGTGTGCCGCGAACTTGTCAAAAATCATTATATTTTATTTTTACAAAGGAAACGTAATTTACAGGTATTAGACAATTGAAATTTCTTCAAACATTCTTGAAATTATCATCAGTTTCACAAGTTTTAAGATCGTTCGATTCGTAACACTTGTTTAGTTACATGAAATCAATAAAACAGGTAACACCGTACCACATAGATGTCGAATATCTCTGCTCATTTGTATAAAACAAGCAAAGTATAAGATGTCAAATGCTTCTCAGGTCTCATTTCTTACCAAAATACTCTCATTGGATGACTCAAATCATCCGGAACTCGTGCCTCTTTATCGACGATCGACAAACAGACGCGTATGTATGTATAATACTTATTGCTCGACTTGCTGCCACACTTGATCACGAAAGTACTAAATACAACAAAGTTCAAGGTTTGAATGAAAAATTAAATTGTTGCACTATTAATTTATACCCATTCGCAATTCCCAATATAATTGTCGTATCGTCTGCTACAGCTTTTGGTGTCCCCCGTGTCCCCAGGCCCCTCCAGCCATCAGAGCTTGACTCGGTCACCAGAGCAGTGTACACCGTCGTCATTATTGTCGACGCTGATGAATGATAATATGATATAAGTGAATACAAGTATATTATTATCCAGTGAAAATACAGTTGCCGCTGACAGTGACTAGTTGTCCAAGCTACTGTACATTTCTCTCGTCTCTGCCTGTGCGTGTGATTAATCGTCTCTTCGTTTTTAAGGTTAGTGAAGTTTGTGTCGTATTTTCATATGTATTGCGTATTGGCGTTTGGCATCATCATTCTCGCGTGTTAGCGGTACATAATTTACCAAGTAGGTACTTGAAAATCACAGTAATAATAAAAGTTGATATACTTTTTGTACATATAAATGATAACGATGGTAAAGAAAACGCACGAGACCGAGGGAGGGCAGAAGGATTTTATCACCAAAATCACAGCGCATGGTGAGCAGCGGCGCGGTATACTGCGTTTTTCACCTACAGACGGCTACAGTATCGTGGTAGTGTAGTACTCGTCGCGCAGTGCCGTCGGTCGGCTCTTTTCGCTCTCGCGTGTACTCTCTTGTCGTACAATTGGACGGCATTTTAGAATTAAATTCGGTGTTTTAATCCCGTATCACACGTACTGTCTGTTCGTCACAATTGGCAGCTCAACAAGCAGAAAACGAAGGAGAGGCGGTGATTGTAATAGCACGAAGATACGCAAAGAAAGTGCCCCAGCGGAGAGAAACAGACTCGAATAGCCGCTCGTTCAATCTTGAGGTTAGAAACTCACTTCCGCCAACATAATCTCGTTTTTTTTTTTTTTTTTTTTTTGTTCCCCATATTATACACGCGAGAGTGCCCGATACATTCCCATTTTGATGCTGCTGCACTCACTCACGAGCGCGCATGTGATTTAAGTATTGTGAGTTTACTGCATGTGGGTGAAAATCGTGCATACATTACGTGCTCGTATATGATTATTGAAAGTGCATGGTGCGTAAAGTGCCGCTATAGCCCGGGCATGCACGGGTGCGAGTGAGACAGGGCAAACAGAGCAAGAGAGTGCATACACACACACATGCGATATAATGTGCCTAAAATATGCGTGATGAGCCGATGGGTGCGGGAATACTTGGCCGACGTAGTCGAGGAGAGGGTTTTTGGGGAATGACGCAGCGCCGCGTGGGAGGGCTACGGAAAATCGCGAGAAAAATAGCTTTATACACACACGCGCGTCACCTACGCATGAGCGCGAAGATTTCGCGAGTCGCGTGTACGAGAGAGAGCGAGGGGCGGTGGCCGTAAGCCGATTGTCGTACGTGCGCGAGAGAGAGACAGGACGCTATCTTTTTCTCGGGTCGGCCATGTTACTTATATAGGTGGCAGCGACGGCGACAGCAGCTCCTCGCCGACCGTAGGTATACCTACTTACACCGCTCTCCGTCGCACTGCTTTGCAAAGTAGCTCCTCCGATGCATTGTTCCCCTACAATTGCGATCTTGCGTGAAAAATTGTACCATTTGGACAGATTACCAAAGAATACTTACTACTTAAACACATAGTTTTTCACGTAAACAAAACTGCCAGAGTTAGAGCACATTAAAGTTCATCCGAGTAGCGGGAGAGGGGGGGGGGTTATGACGTCATAAGGACTCGTGTATGATTTTTGTCCTCCCACTCCTGAAACTTGATGTAAATTATTTCTTTCATTTTTTCCTTGTCTACCGAACAAAATGGACCGAATCTACAAGATTCCCATTGGATACACGTACCTAGTGAGTGGTCCTTGCGGACAATTGACTTCTCGCCCACGATTTACGTATAATCGAACGACAAAGAGATGAGTGAGAGGTAGAGCGATTTTGCCATAAAGATCGGTGTTTATTGTTTTCACGAGAAAACATGCCCAGAAGTTTAATTCGCTCACCCCCCTTGCTTTGTACAAAAGACTTTCATCAATGTCAGACACTTAACCATCAAAGTTATCCAATGACAATTGTTTTGACAATCAATGACATGATTTTTATGTATTTATTAAGAAAGCACATTGTTACGTTCTCTTAAGCGGATATATTATGTAATAAGCCAAGCGTTAATCGCTATTCCGTACATTACCCGATAAGCATCCTATTTACCTATCGCGCGTGGAGTTAAAAATCGATCGAGACGGATGTTCGTTATCGCTGTTTGAACAACTTTTTAGAGTAAACCCTGTGTAATATGCTTTCAAATAGGAAAACGACTATTTTGTCTCACATTTCAGTCTAAGGTTTTTTTTTTTTTTTTTTCGAAGTCATCCCGGTTTAATATTCTCCGTCACTTCCGGGCATGTATCATGCGATCATCGAGGTGCACCACGTTGTTCGTTTGCGGCCAAACTCCGCAGTCAATTACAATTATATAATATTATACGCTTCAAAGCTGCTGACGCCGCAAGCGCTCGATCGATTAAACGCTTATGCGTACATTGGATCATTACTCGTGCGTCCGCGAAATTCGCTCCCCAAATAAATAGTAATACTCCCAAACTCAACTCGTTATCTCGCGATGACTATTATCTCGAGTATGCACTGGTTTTTAAACAATACATCAATTTTACAAGCACTTTTGGGGTTCAGATGGGCACGTACACGAGCTGTTGGCTCCGCTTTGATAGTTCGTCGTGCACAAGTTTGGCGTGTTATTCTACATGTAGAGAGAGAGGAATAAGGTTAAGGACACCTAGTTTAAACTCCACGCGTATCAAATACGGGAGAGTTTGAACGAGCGACTCGGCGTTTAATTAAACCGTTGTAATTTGATTGTACACGTTCAAGATTTCGTGTACGGCAAATCTTTTGGGTTAACAATTCGTCCAACCGTTGTGTAAAAATGGAGCAAAAGTAAGAGAGTGAGAGATTGATTAAAGAAAAGATACGTATACAGGCGCCTTGAAAGCAAACGCAAGTAACGCAGTTGTATCGATTAATGCAGAAATGGGGGAGAAGAAACGACAGCGAGCCCCAAAATGTGTACATGCACCCCTTCGCCGGAGGGGGAAGGCAGCCAGTCATGTATATAATATCCCCGATGGCCTTACAAACACGTCAAAAGTAGAGTTCGTTGTATAATACTCGTAGAGAGAGAGAGAGAGAGAATTGTACTTATCTCTCGCCGAGAAAAGAGAAAAAAAGTGTTTGACGGGGGTGGTACGAGCATACACCACAACGTGGTGGATCAATAAAGACGTTGTGTGTATACTAGCACGCACGAAAAGCCCTCTCTCGCTTACTTACTCCCACAATCTTGTAACGCGAGGATTTCGTCCTCCCTCTCCCTTCCACTACTGTGCAGGGTATATGGGTAATATCTCCTCCTCCTCCAGTGTGTCATCGTCAAAGAGCTTATAAAGGAAGAGGAGCCGAGATACCGCCCGTCTGGGGACCCGAAAGCGCTGGCCCCATAAAATTGCAATGGCAGCATCGGCTTTGGAATCGACGTGGGGGGCTACTTATGGCCAAAAAAAAAGTGGAAAAAGTTATCAGAGGAATAGCCCAAAGGTATACATTAAAATCGAGCGTCTCGTGTAGAGTTCGTTTACCTTTCGACGTCGTTTCTCCCTCTCTTTTTTTTTTTTTTTTTTTTTTTTTTTTTTTTGTTATCCCTCACATGTACAAGGCGTTTTTTTGGAGTGGTATAATACTACCTGAGCATAAGTGCCATTCTGGTGTTGGTACTTGAGCCTACTCTCTGCCACTACACTATGTGGGTGGGAGTAGGTATGTTAGTGTACGTGGTAAAAGAGCAGCGAACAATCTCTGCGCTCTTGCGGACCCGCTTGGCATCAGGTAGCTATTCAAAGACTGGTGACGCATTAAAAGTGCGGGGTACTCGTACCAGACTTGGGCATCGATAAGTAGTAACTTCACATACACATGTAGTCGAGCAAATGTATGGGACGGTACGCTTTTTTTTTTTTTATTAATAAACACTTGATTTCAAATTTAAATAAAGGTTTTAATTGGAATTTTTTTTTAATATAATTAAGTATATTGAACTATTGTTTGCGACACGTATTCTGAGTAAAAATATGTACATTTAAAAGTAATCCCTCTCTCTTTTCTGTCTGACTGTCTTTCACCCACTCAATGAGCGAGGAAGATATGACGATTCCGTAAGCTGCTGTTACTGTGAAATAAAGCCATAAATTAACAATGATTTCTCTCTCTCTCTCATTCTTTTTTAATACAAATGAACATGACAAAGTTGTAAATCGTTTGCGTCATGGATTTCCCCTTTATTATCTGTAACGTACCGTTAAGTTTGTTTACACAAAAAAAAAATGTAAATGTATTCATCGCGTTATGTTTATTTTAAAAACCTACATGCATTCATAATTGATTGATCGCAAGTACAAATATGTGCCAAATAAGTTGCACTCGAGAGTTTATCAATGCCAGCGAAAGTGTGTCCATTAGACTCCTCGCCCTCTACCCACGAAAAAAAAAAAAAAAAAAAAAAAACGCAACATTTAGCCTGGACACATAAACATTACATAGACGGTCCAGCTGGTACAGCTTTCACCTGTATCGGCATGTGTAATGGGCGCTCGGAATCTGTTGGTCGGGTTTCTCTGTGTGCAATGCCGTACGTACCTACGGATTTTATTGCAGATGCTTGGCATTGCTCGAGTGTTATCGAATATCATTGAGGTTGGCGCATTCTTTCGCTCGCACGTATGTACCTACCCGCGGCCAATTTCCACATTTCACTCGTGTGCAGGCGTACCATCCACCACTCGTCCGCTGCAAAGAAAATCTCGTGAAATGTTAACACTTGAGAGAAAAATAAAACAATTTTACCTGCGTTGTATTTGAAAACAAAACAAAAAAAGGGGAGAAGATAGAAAACGAATTTAACTTTCTCGGCGGGGAAAAAGTTGTAGTTGTAGTGTTTACTCCGAAGCTCCGTGTCTCAGTGGCGTTGATTCGAAGTTTCCGAGTTACACCGAGCCATTGGAATTAATCCTCGAGACTGCGACTTTTTTTTTCTCTCCTCCAGCCAGCATCCCCTGCCGTTAACCTACATTTTTGTAACAACGTTTACCCAGACGAAATGGGGAGCAGCGCTAAAAGCCCCCCCCCCTTTCTAGTGCCATCTCTTGTATTGGTGGCAATTTTTTTGTTAGCACAAGACTTTCTTTCTTCTTCTAATTAAAATACTTATGGGAGGAATATACGAAATAAACCCTCTTTTTTCATCAACTGCTGACGCAAATATTGCTTTACAAGTAAGACGTTGGGGTGTTTTTTCGTTTGTCATACCCCTTTTTTTTCATTGTAAGAGAAAAAAGGTTAAGTGTAGTCCGTGAAAAAAAAATTGCGAGCAAAAAATTGATAAGAAAAGATATTTCAAATATTAAATGTACACTGTTGTGTTTGCTCTTGTGAAAAACTTTTTCCAATATCTCGAGATTTCAATAAAGGCGTGCTCAAGGAGAGCTCAATCATTTTGGGTGTGTATCTTTTTTTTTTTTTTTTTTTTTTTTTTTTTTTTTNAATCGATTTTTATCCTTATTTGGCTTTAATAAAAACGTGAATTTATGCATATTATGCATAAATGTAAAAGAAAAAATTTAATTTTTGCATTTTTACTAATACTTTATGAAAAATTGTTTTGCAGCTCAAACATTACGAATATCTCATACCCGTTGGAGAGAACTAAATAATGCCAATCGATTGTAATAAAATTGATCAAAAAACGTTTTCCGCTAAGGTTTAAAAAAACGGCAAAAATTTTAAAACACGATTTTTGATATCGGTAACAAACATGCTTAAAAAAAAAAAATAAATAGAAAAACCGGAAAAATTGTTAGAAAATCGGAAAAAAGGAACGAGGGATTCCTCAGAAATAGGCATAATAGACCAAATAACTGCGCGGAGAGGAGAGTGCATATGATACGTCGACGAGACGAAGAGGGAAGAGGAGGAGGTGCGGCTCGCGCTCCGCTCCGAGAGATATATATACACACGAAGGAGAGGCGCAGCTTTTCAAGTAGGCCGCGAGCCCCGTCGCGCACGCACGTAATTTTTCAATACTCCAAGTCGCATCGAGCGTTATTTCCCCCGTGGATCGGTAATAGGCTTTTTCCGAGATCGCGATTTTTTCATGCACGACGAAAAAAAAAATCGGCACGCGCGTGTCCAAGTGGAAGAAACAACAATAATGATGTGTTATCGCGCGGTAGGTCCGACCAAAGTGCCGTAAAAAAAGCCATCGAGGCGGGCCAAAAAGAAGCTGCGACTTTTCGGGGACCAACGCGGCACGAGCATACGTGCACCGGAATCGGGTGAGCATATATATATATACCGATGGAATGCAAACGATGTACAATCATGATAATAATATTATATTGTCGCTTGCGAGAGGCGCTACTTATTTATTTTTGGCTAAACGACTGGTTTTTACAAGTGCGTGGATGAAAATTTATCCTTAAAGCGCGCGTCTTTTGTTTTCTCTTTGGTGTACCTATATATAACTGCAGCGTTCGAATTAGAAAAATATTTTTTCACAATATTGAGAACTCGACAAGTGCGCTTGGATACTTTAAATATCTCTCTCTCTCTGTTTTGCAAATAATGGGGCACATGTCCACGCGCATCACGTAATGGAATTTAATGCTACGTTTCGTTTGTTTGCAAAACACGAATCTTGCGAACCCGGTATCCTTGAAAGAGAGAAGAAAAAAAGGTCAACGCGGAACTTGGCGCTAAAAAAATCGTCGTGCTGATTATCACTGCTGCTATAATCATTTGTGGCGCTGGACAACTTTCCGATTATTATAAACGTGCAATACTAATTTTACGCGATTGCGATTACAAAAACGGCAGTTTTTTATTATTAGTTTTATGATTACTACAATATTTTATCCTGTACTGATGGTTGATTTTTGTTTTCGAGTGCTCGAGTGTAATCAATTTCCGTGCAGTGTGTTTATGTACCGGACGAAAGGTGAAGTATTAATATAACAGCACTACGCCACTTGAGTAATTTTCAATACAAATTAAGAAAAAAAATTAGTCTCCTGTTACGCAAAAATCCTATTTATGCTTGAATTTTTCTGCCTCTCGCGACCCATCGTTAACCGGATAAAGTATTTTGACTTAATGAGGTCGAATTGGTATTTTTTCGAAACACGCACACACGCAAGGGTAAAAGAAAAAGCTTGGAATTTCACAAAACCTGATGATACTTATATATGCGCACAAACACACAAACTGTTACACAATTGTTGCGCTACGAGTACGAGTATAATACACATCTTCCTTACCATACGCGTGTATATATATATATAATACATGTTGACGAGCTATACATAGCTGATGGCATTTAAGTGACTCATGCGAGTGTACATTGTACGCTGAGAAACCATTCGTGTACTTATACACATCGCGAGTAACGTTGAGGTTTTGCATTACCGTCTCGTCCTCTTGTTCTCCCGTACGCAAGAAAGGGGCTTTTCATTTAAAATACTTTGCCATTTAATACACGCGTTTTTACATAATACGATAAGTAAGTATTGTATACGCGCGCATAATGGCTCTAGGTAATGTAACAACAAAAGCTGTCCTTGAGAAAAACTCCCTCCCCTCGGGGGAAAAGTCTTCCTTACTCCGGTAATACTATCTCTTTTTTTGCCACTTTTCCAAATGATTTTTATTTCCTTGACCTTTTATTAAAAAGAATTCCAAAAGAACGGCTCGTTTGAACATGTATGAAAAAATGTGGAGGAAGAAAAAAAGAAAAAAAAAAAAAAAGAAAAGTGTTAACCAACCGGGCGTGAAACGGTCGCTAAACGCGTCCGTACGCCGGGGAAATTCGCTGAATGCTCAGCAAATAGATACACCTCTATACGTATAAAAATACCCGTACTCGCAAAAACGAGAATCTAAAACTTGTTAATACTTTCTCCCGATGCCTTCAATGACTGTGAAATTGATTTCACCATTGCAGCTTCGGCTCGGCCGTACGTATCACTCGAGAGAGTTGTCTTGTTTGCGCTAAGCAACCGCGGCCCAGTCAATTTCTCTCTCCTTCCGAACGTATAGGTACGCGTCTTTGTGGTACAAACATATAAAATGCGCGACGTCACCTGTCAATGGTATGTATTTTTAACACCATAGCCAGTGATGGTTCGCCAAAATGAGTGACCTTTTTTTCCTTTTTTTTTTTTAGATGAAACTCACGAGTATCGCGAGCAAACGTCGGTATGATTGATTGAAACAAAATACTCCCAACGGGTCCAAACAAAACGGCTCCTCCTATGCTCCATGTATTATATAACACGCGCCGCGCCTCTGTATACGCAGCAAAGCGAAAAGAGAAAAAGAAGAATCGCCGTGTGAAGCGCGAGCTTGGGGGAAAAAAAAGTGGGCTATAACTGTTATTATATATTTTTGTTCGCCGCATCCGTAGGTTACATAGGGGTAGAGCTTGCGTGAGCGACCGATGGGATCCACATGCTCGGCATCAGCAAGAAAATGCCGTTTTTCAAAGCCCTCCGAATATCATCCTCGTCGTCCGAGAAACAACAGAAGCAGCAGCAACGATCGAACAACGGGTCTTCTTGCCCGTTGACGCCCACCGGGAGCCATAACTGCAACGGCTACCGGGGAGTGCAACTGCGTCAGGAGGAGCGACAGCCTCAGCTGGTGTTTTATTGCCAATTGGCGCACGGTAGCCCGACCGGCCTGATATCCGGCTTCAGCAATGCGCGCGAGCTGTACTCCAAGATCGCCGAGTGCTTCGCCATCCTTCCCGATGATGTATGTGCATATCTACATAATTACATACTTTCGATATACCATCATGTATTTTTTTTTTTTTTTTTTTTTTTTTTTTTTTTTTTTTTTTTTTTTTTTTTTTTTTTTTTTTTTTTTTTTTTTTTTTTTTCTTTCATTTACTTAACGAGTTAATATTATTGATTAATTTTTATGTGTTTGACGATATATGATCACAGGTATATTTTGCTCTCAGAGGGTATCGGTATGTCGTTGGTACTACGACGAGTTAATGCGTGCACTGAAGGAAAAGGCAAATAATTTCAAGAGACTTTTACCATATGCCAATCGTGTTTTTTAATTGTCGATCGGTTACTCTCTTTAAAAAAACTCAGAGTCAATCAAATTTTCATCCGCGGTAATTGGTTCGGCTGTACTTTTAACAAAAAAAACCGTTATACCGATGCGCATTTCTTCGTGGTTCCTTTATTGGATTGGGGTAGATCGAATCGGCAATCACTGTCGTAATGTCAAAGATGAGGGGGAGGCAAAAACATTTTATAGCCAAACTGACGGACACAATCAAACCAGTACTTTAATCGCAGATATTTCGTTAAAAGTCTTTAACGTTGATTTACCGATCCATATACCTACTGCGGTTCTACCGATTCGCGTCAATCGAGTTTTTATTCTGAGAATCAGCGAACAATTTAACGAGCGATGAATCGGCAATCGATGATCCTCTTGTATCCTCGCTCCATTACTCCCAAATCACTGTGCGTGCGAAAATAAAAGTAATCCAGGCCATTTCTACTTAGCATTATCCATGTATAATATCCGTATACGCCAGTTTTCTCATTCGAGGGGGGAAAAAAAGAGCAACAAAATCGGGCACGCGTTTGGTGCGTGTATGTATGTCCATGTAAAAGACAAGACAATCACCATGTGTGTGTCGGGGAAAAAATTTCACTCCGAAGAATGAAGCCCAAGTTTTCCTCTCTCGATGCTTCGTCCAACCGAACAACAACCTCCGCGGTTCACTTTCAAAAGACGCTATATACGCGTCGCCGCGAGGTTTTCCCCCGGCCCGTGAGCATGTTTGTATATTTATACCGATGTGCGCCAGGAAAATCGCGAAACCGTACGGTTTAAAACAATCCGATTTTTTTTTTTTTTTTTTCTCACCGAGAGAGATCAAACGAGGCCCTTTTACCCAAAACGCTGCACATACTTTGATAATAACCGCCGGACACAGAAAGAAGAAAACCGTTAACCGACAGGTGCGAGCCGCTCTAATCCTTACGGGTTTTGTTTATGTGTCGACGAACGCGAATTTCTACCGATTGTTATTCCCTCGATCTCGCGTGAGACGCGTTCACAAGAGAAAATGAAATGCAAGACGAGCGCGATGCTGAGAGAGAAAGAGAGAGAGAGAGAGATAAGTGTATGCATCTTTTAACAAGCGATGAGTAATGCGCATATATATACATTATGAACCGCGAGCCGTTCAATCGAGCTGCTATTTTCATCACCACGACGAAGCGTATACTTATCGTGCATAGGGCCAATTGAAGTTGTGCGACTCTTTTTCTCTCTCTTTCTTAATCATACCAATTAAAATAACTGCTGATTCCTGAAATTGCAGATCATCTTCTGCACGCTCAACACCCACAAAATCGACATGGGCCAGTTGATAGGAGGCCAGATCGGACTCGACGACTTTATATTTGCCCACAAGAAAGGTTCGTTTTTCTTTTTTTGTACCCGATGCTCTTACTTACTTTCTCCTTGCTCCCTGCACGTGACAACTATGTATTCACAAGCTATATACTCTGTCGTTGTGTTTGTTACTTGGTCGGTTTATTTTCAACCGAAACTGTAAAACTAATGAACGGGCACGCGCGAGCTAGGGCTCGTCCTTCCGTGAATCCAACTGTATCTTGATGGATAACATAATGTGTCCTTGGTACATCACCCATCGTCACCAGACAAAACTACGGTTCATCCGTGCATTTCGATTTTGCGCTGTTATTTGTCGATGCATGCGAAAAGCGACGTATACAATATGTACATACACAACAAAGCATCCACCCATGGCTGAGACGAATCTCGTGCAGGTCGTGCGAAAGAGGTCGAGCTGATAAAAACCGAGCCGGCGCTGGGGCTGACGTTGACGGACAACGGCGCCGGTTTCGTCTTTATCAAGCGGATCCGCGACAACTCGATAATGGACAAGCTGGGCGTCGTCCAAATCGGGGACCACCTGGAGAAGCTCAACGGGGCCAGTCTGGTGGGCAAGCGGCACTTTGAGGTCGCGCGCATGCTCAAGGAGATCGAGTGCGGCTCGAGCATGCTGCTGCGGCTTGTCGAGCCGGCGAGTCGGACCACCGGCTTTGGGCCCATTGGGCTGAGGGCTGCTGGCCCCAGGAGCAGGGCCAAGTTCGCTGGATACCCGACCGGCTGGGAGACGCTGAGGTTCAAGGCTGACGGCTTTGCCAGGATCGAGCAGCTGGTGAGTGCGCTTTCATGTTATACTTACTGATCGGCGTATCACTATACCGATGGCTTTTTGCTTTTCATCGTGTAGAACGAGACTGACAAGGCGAGGGAGCAGATCGAGAAGATCAACAACGCCCTGGATGTGTACATGGGAATCAGCGATTACGTGCTCGGTAAGGGGCGTTCAATTTATTTGTGCACTGTGGTAAAATGTAGCCTGAGAATTTTCAAAGCGATATTATTGATTGCAGCGAGGAGGTTGTGGGAGATTGCGCAGAAGAAAATCAACAGTATGGATCTCGCCAAAGCGATGGACTCGGCGCTACCGGACTCTTACGATTTTCCAAAGGATTTTATCTTCGACGTCTGGAAAATTGCATTCGAGACCAGAAAGAATCCGTGAATACGTGTATTTTGTAAATACCTTATTGGCCATATAAATTTGTTTTTTTTTTTTTAATCAAAGTCCATTCATATTACGTTATATTACGTTTATACATTTGTGGTTAATTGTGCGTGCATTTATGTGTATATAAATATCGAGTCCACTGTTGGATCGTTCAAGTATTCTTATAACATTAGCGATAACGTAAAATTGAAAGTAACAAACAAACGTTTGTAAGTACACGCGTGTACTGTTACATTATATCAATATTATTTGTACACTTCGTATAAACATCAAATTATTTTCAAAAATTGTAAATTATGTACAATAAATATAGTTACATTCCAATTTTCACTAACTCGCAATCTCAAATTCAATTTTGAATCTCGCGCCATTCTGTGCTAGCTACGGATATCTTTTCACAGATGGCGCTTTGGGTAGCAGAGGGGGCCACACATGCACGTGTGCCGCGAACTTGTCAAAAATCATTATATTTTATTTTTACAAAGGAAACGTAATTTACAGGTATTAGACAATTGAAATTTCTTCAAACATTCTTGAAATTATCATCAGTTTCACAAGTTTTAAGATCGTTCGATTCGTAACACTTGTTTAGTTACATGAAATCAATAAAACAGGTAACACCGTACCACATAGATGTCGAATATCTCTGCTCATTTGTATAAAACAAGCAAAGTATAAGATGTCAAATGCTTCTCAGGTCTCATTTCTTACCAAAATACTCTCATTGGATGACTCAAATCATCCGGAACTCGTGCCTCTTTATCGACGATCGACAAACAGACGCGTATGTATGTATAATACTTATTGCTCGACTTGCTGCCACACTTGATCACGAAAGTACTAAATACAACAAAGTTCAAGGTTTGAATGAAAAATTAAATTGTTGCACTATTAATTTATACCCATTCGCAATTCCCAATATAATTGTCGTATCGTCTGCTACAGCTTTTGGTGTCCCCCGTGTCCCCAGGCCCCTCCAGCCATCAGAGCTTGACTCGGTCACCAGAGCAGTGTACACCGTCGTCATTATTGTCGACGCTGATGAATGATAATATGATATAAGTGAATACAAGTATATTATTATCCAGTGAAAATACAGTTGCCGCTGACAGTGACTAGTTGTCCAAGCTACTGTACATTTCTCTCGTCTCTGCCTGTGCGTGTGATTAATCGTCTCTTCGTTTTTAAGGTTAGTGAAGTTTGTGTCGTATTTTCATATGTATTGCGTATTGGCGTTTGGCATCATCATTCTCGCGTGTTAGCGGTACATAATTTACCAAGTAGGTACTTGAAAATCACAGTAATAATAAAAGTTGATATACTTTTTGTACATATAAATGATAACGATGGTAAAGAAAACGCACGAGACCGAGGGAGGGCAGAAGGATTTTATCACCAAAATCACAGCGCATGGTGAGCAGCGGCGCGGTATACTGCGTTTTTCACCTACAGACGGCTACAGTATCGTGGTAGTGTAGTACTCGTCGCGCAGTGCCGTCGGTCGGCTCTTTTCGCTCTCGCGTGTACTCTCTTGTCGTACAATTGGACGGCATTTTAGAATTAAATTCGGTGTTTTAATCCCGTATCACACGTACTGTCTGTTCGTCACAATTGGCAGCTCAACAAGCAGAAAACGAAGGAGAGGCGGTGATTGTAATAGCACGAAGATACGCAAAGAAAGTGCCCCAGCGGAGAGAAACAGACTCGAATAGCCGCTCGTTCAATCTTGAGGTTAGAAACTCACTTCCGCCAACATAATCTCGTTTTTTTTTTTTTTTTTTTTTTTGTTCCCCATATTATACACGCGAGAGTGCCCGATACATTCCCATTTTGATGCTGCTGCACTCACTCACGAGCGCGCATGTGATTTAAGTATTGTGAGTTTACTGCATGTGGGTGAAAATCGTGCATACATTACGTGCTCGTATATGATTATTGAAAGTGCATGGTGCGTAAAGTGCCGCTATAGCCCGGGCATGCACGGGTGCGAGTGAGACAGGGCAAACAGAGCAAGAGAGTGCATACACACACACATGCGATATAATGTGCCTAAAATATGCGTGATGAGCCGATGGGTGCGGGAATACTTGGCCGACGTAGTCGAGGAGAGGGTTTTTGGGGAATGACGCAGCGCCGCGTGGGAGGGCTACGGAAAATCGCGAGAAAAATAGCTTTATACACACACGCGCGTCACCTACGCATGAGCGCGAAGATTTCGCGAGTCGCGTGTACGAGAGAGAGCGAGGGGCGGTGGCCGTAAGCCGATTGTCGTACGTGCGCGAGAGAGAGACAGGACGCTATCTTTTTCTCGGGTCGGCCATGTTACTTATATAGGTGGCAGCGACGGCGACAGCAGCTCCTCGCCGACCGTAGGTATACCTACTTACACCGCTCTCCGTCGCACTGCTTTGCAAAGTAGCTCCTCCGATGCATTGTTCCCCTACAATTGCGATCTTGCGTGAAAAATTGTACCATTTGGACAGATTACCAAAGAATACTTACTACTTAAACACATAGTTTTTCACGTAAACAAAACTGCCAGAGTTAGAGCACATTAAAGTTCATCCGAGTAGCGGGAGAGGGGGGGGGGTTATGACGTCATAAGGACTCGTGTATGATTTTTGTCCTCCCACTCCTGAAACTTGATGTAAATTATTTCTTTCATTTTTTCCTTGTCTACCGAACAAAATGGACCGAATCTACAAGATTCCCATTGGATACACGTACCTAGTGAGTGGTCCTTGCGGACAATTGACTTCTCGCCCACGATTTACGTATAATCGAACGACAAAGAGATGAGTGAGAGGTAGAGCGATTTTGCCATAAAGATCGGTGTTTATTGTTTTCACGAGAAAACATGCCCAGAAGTTTAATTCGCTCACCCCCCTTGCTTTGTACAAAAGACTTTCATCAATGTCAGACACTTAACCATCAAAGTTATCCAATGACAATTGTTTTGACAATCAATGACATGATTTTTATGTATTTATTAAGAAAGCACATTGTTACGTTCTCTTAAGCGGATATATTATGTAATAAGCCAAGCGTTAATCGCTATTCCGTACATTACCCGATAAGCATCCTATTTACCTATCGCGCGTGGAGTTAAAAATCGATCGAGACGGATGTTCGTTATCGCTGTTTGAACAACTTTTTAGAGTAAACCCTGTGTAATATGCTTTCAAATAGGAAAACGACTATTTTGTCTCACATTTCAGTCTAAGGTTTTTTTTTTTTTTTTTTTCGAAGTCATCCCGGTTTAATATTCTCCGTCACTTCCGGGCATGTATCATGCGATCATCGAGGTGCACCACGTTGTTCGTTTGCGGCCAAACTCCGCAGTCAATTACAATTATATAATATTATACGCTTCAAAGCTGCTGACGCCGCAAGCGCTCGATCGATTAAACGCTTATGCGTACATTGGATCATTACTCGTGCGTCCGCGAAATTCGCTCCCCAAATAAATAGTAATACTCCCAAACTCAACTCGTTATCTCGCGATGACTATTATCTCGAGTATGCACTGGTTTTTAAACAATACATCAATTTTACAAGCACTTTTGGGGTTCAGATGGGCACGTACACGAGCTGTTGGCTCCGCTTTGATAGTTCGTCGTGCACAAGTTTGGCGTGTTATTCTACATGTAGAGAGAGAGGAATAAGGTTAAGGACACCTAGTTTAAACTCCACGCGTATCAAATACGGGAGAGTTTGAACGAGCGACTCGGCGTTTAATTAAACCGTTGTAATTTGATTGTACACGTTCAAGATTTCGTGTACGGCAAATCTTTTGGGTTAACAATTCGTCCAACCGTTGTGTAAAAATGGAGCAAAAGTAAGAGAGTGAGAGATTGATTAAAGAAAAGATACGTATACAGGCGCCTTGAAAGCAAACGCAAGTAACGCAGTTGTATCGATTAATGCAGAAATGGGGGAGAAGAAACGACAGCGAGCCCCAAAATGTGTACATGCACCCCTTCGCCGGAGGGGGAAGGCAGCCAGTCATGTATATAATATCCCCGATGGCCTTACAAACACGTCAAAAGTAGAGTTCGTTGTATAATACTCGTAGAGAGAGAGAGAGAGAGAATTGTACTTATCTCTCGCCGAGAAAAGAGAAAAAAAGTGTTTGACGGGGGTGGTACGAGCATACACCACAACGTGGTGGATCAATAAAGACGTTGTGTGTATACTAGCACGCACGAAAAGCCCTCTCTCGCTTACTTACTCCCACAATCTTGTAACGCGAGGATTTCGTCCTCCCTCTCCCTTCCACTACTGTGCAGGGTATATGGGTAATATCTCCTCCTCCTCCAGTGTGTCATCGTCAAAGAGCTTATAAAGGAAGAGGAGCCGAGATACCGCCCGTCTGGGGACCCGAAAGCGCTGGCCCCATAAAATTGCAATGGCAGCATCGGCTTTGGAATCGACGTGGGGGGCTACTTATGGCCAAAAAAAAAGTGGAAAAAGTTATCAGAGGAATAGCCCAAAGGTATACATTAAAATCGAGCGTCTCGTGTAGAGTTCGTTTACCTTTCGACGTCGTTTCTCCCTCTC